TATTTCTCGAAACGACTGGAAAATTGCACGTGATCGTTCTCGTGGGAAATTTAGGGATTGTTAATTTTTTTTCTCCATGGAGGATTTTGTGTTAAGTTTTATTTGAGGTTTGGGAGATATTTAGTATGATTTTTATTAGAATATGTTCGTTTTCAATTTTCTGTGTACAGAAAAATATGGTTTTTGGGGAAAAGAAAATTTATTTTTGGAGAATTGATATTGTTAATTAGAATATACTGATTTTCACGTTTTAGTGTGTTGAAAAATATTTTTCTTGGAAGATTAATGCTAGTAATTGTAATATTGATTAGAACATACTGATTTTCACGTTTTAGTGTGTTAAAAAATATTTTTCTTGGAAGATTAATGCTAGTAATTGTAATATTGATTAGAACATACTGATTTTCACGTTTTAGTCTATCAAAAAATATTTTTTCTATAAGAAAAAGAAACATATTTTTGCAGAATTAATAATATATTTTTGTAAACTACTTTTATCTGTTTTTTAAATTGTCCAAGATTAATATTTGATAAGAGAAGATGTTATTAAATAGAAACATACAGACAAATTCTGTATTTCAGAGTAATCTGTTTTACCTCGTTTGAAGAAAGTCAGTTGAAATAGATTATTGTCACTGAAACATGCAAAAAAGTGTTCGTCTTCTGTGTCAAACTAATATTTACTCACCTACAAGCAAGGTTTTGCTCAGAAAAAGCTATTTGAATATCAGGTGTAAATCTGTTTACCGTTACACTGCTTCTATTTTCGGTTATTTCAAACTGTATACACATGTACTTCTATTTCCATGCATGATTTGTACACATAACACGTATTATCACGTAAATTCTAAGTAAACTGTGTAACAAGTTTGAAAGTGAGTGTTCGAAACAATAGCTACGAGATAAACGTTAGATACTAGAAAATTTCTATCACGTTCAGTCTGCAAAATTCATGGATAAACGCAATAAAAATTTACAGATGCCTTCTTATTTATGGTTTATTGCACTTGTGGCATAATCGATCGTTAATACTACATTAAGAAATTGCCTTCGTTGGAAGAATTGTAAGAAGTAATTACGCGTATAAAATTAATTACTATAGCTCGAGGTTGTGTCTCATGATTAGAATTTTATTACCAACGCTTGACATTTTTAGGGAGACGCTTTCATTGAAGATTCGTGAGACGAATTTTGCATGAAAATGCGAAATTCGATTACCTAAAATTAATGTTAAACGCTGGTTTTCAGAGAAGGGAGAGAAAGTGTTTGGAATTTTGGTACTTGTAATTTGAAGTTTGGTAATTTGAGCACCTGGGAACTCGAAAGCTTGGAATTCGGACGCTTGCGAATCTGAATTTAGTGATTTGGGGGATTGGAATTTGAAAGCTTGGAATTCGGAGGCTTGAGATTCGAAATTTAGCAATTTGAAAGTATGGAAATTGAAAACTTGTGATTCGGAAGATTGCAATTCGAAATTTAGTGATTCGAGCGCTTGGAAATTGAAAATTTGGGATTCGGAAGCTTGCAATTTGAAATTTGGAAATTGAAAGCTTGAAAATTCGGACGCTTGCAATTCGAAATTTAATAATTTCAGCGTTTGCGACTTCGATACTTGAAATTCGGACGCTTTCAATTCGAAATTTAGCAATTTCAACGCTTCGAACTCGAAAGCTTAGTGAATTTAGACGCTTGCACTTCCAAATTTAGTAATATCAGTGCTTCAAATTCGGACGCTTGCAATTTGAAATTTGGTAATTTCAGCGCTTCGAACTCGAAACCTTAGAATTTAGACGCTTGCACTTCCAAATCTAGTAATATCAGTGCTTCAAATTCGGACGCTTGCAATTTGAAATTTGGTAATTTCAGCGCTTGGAATTCAAAATCATAAAAATCAAACCCTCACAATTGAAAATTCAATACTTTCGACACTTACAACTGAAAATCTTAAAATTCAACTTACAAACCACCCTGCAAATAAAACTCCACATAACCACCGTACGTAGAAAAATCCTTGTCAAAGTAAACCTCTTTAATTTCCATCAATTCTCTCACTCTTCGCTCATCAGTCTACCAAATTCTTTCTCTGTCTCTCCCTCTGTCTCTCCCTGTCTCTCCCTGTCTCTCCCTCTCTCAATTCTCTGTTTACCAACGCCAGTGAGATTCTACCATTGTACACGTGCAAAGGGTATTGCGTAGTCGAGTATAAACGCCCAACGAGACTTTTAGCAACGATTCGCGGTGAAGCGGGCGCGGAGGAAAAGTCAGCGATGATGTCGGTGACGAACAGTACAAAAGGGGGGGATGGATATCCCGGTATCAATGGTAAAGCCCGAAAAGCCTGTTTTGTACGAGTATCGTTGACGAACAGAAGGGTATAGTAAACGTTTAGTGTAACGAGGATGGAAGAGAGAGTGTGTGAGAGTGGAGGGAAGATAGGTGGCGAACGAAGAGGACGATGGGAGAGAAACACTCGTGAAGGGTAGCTCAGGTTCGAGTGTTACAATAAATCAACGACGCGCTTTTGCGCAGCTCCACCCTCGTAACTTCTGCAGAATACATCCCATAGAGGAAGAGAACGACCCTGTGCCATCGGCCACTGTCCCGTTTCATTGTGTTTAAAGTGCCTTCAACCTCGGTTCCGTCCACTATCGAATCGTATAAACAATTTATTGTTGCTTCCTGTCACGCGTCGCCCGTGATCCACACAATTCCACCGTTTTCGAGGATCGATTCTGAAAAGATTTTTTTGCTTGGAATTCTTTTTTGCGGATTTTGGTTTGGGAGAGAGAGCGAGGAATATTTGGAGGGATTTTCGATTGGAATTTTGTTTCTCGTGGCTTTGTTTTAGTGCAGAGAGTGAGGAATATTTGGTCAGTCCATTTTATTATAACAGTTTCATAATTCTCTGACAGTGCTGTTTAGACTATCCACTCGCAAGTATCCAATACAAACTTCTACCTACAGATTATCCTTTTGCAAATATCATTTTACAATTTCCTTTACATCCATCTTCTTCCATAAATTACTGGATATTTCATTCATTTCAAATCATAATAAATTCGCGTCAGTATTAAGCAACTAAGAAAATTGTCAAACTTCTCTAAAACTATACTTCAATAAATATCCAATGATTTCTAATCAAGAACTGCAGCCTTCTCTCAACTATTTCACCATTTTCCCATGAAAATTCAAGAACTGCAGCCTTCAGTTCCTCCATCCCTTCTCTCAACTAATTCAACATTTTCCCATGAAAATTCAAGAACTGCAGCCTTCAATTTTTCCATTTTTGTTTAAAATCTATCAATACAATTCTATATGGAAAAATTAAACAAATTTCAACATTTTCTGATAAAAATTCAAGAACTGCAGCCTTCTCTTAACTATTCCAACATCTTCTGATAAAAATTCAAGAACTGCAGCCTTCTCTCAACTATTCCACCATTTTCCCATAAAAATTCAAGAACTTCAACCTTCAATTTCTCCATTCCCGCTTGAAACCTACCAATACAATTCTCTAAAAAAAAAAGAATTAAACAAATTTCAACACTTTCCGACAAAAATCAAGAACTGCAGCCTCCAGTTTCTCCATTTTTGCTTAAAATCTATCAATACAATTCTACAAAAAAAAAAAAATGAAACAATATCTATCACTATGACTTATCCAACAAACCTCTCGAAATCATAAATCGAAGACGATCAAAGACGATCCATCCGCATCCTCCAGAATGAAATCGCCGAGGGCTAAAGGTGGGCCCTGTTAGGGTTTTCCTCATTCTCTTCTCATCCTCTCTCTCCTCTCATTCCCCTACTCACCATCCCCCTCTCAGATCACTCTCTCTCTCCCCGTGACAAAAGGGGCTAGGATCCTCGTGGCCGTGGCGACCGATTAATTCCCCGACAAAAGGGGCTGCGTATCGCTTTCGGCGAGCCCTCGACCGGCCCCCCTAAAACCCACCTTTGCCCTTACTGCCCTTACGTTCTCTCCCTTTACACCACCACCACCTTCCGCAACGTCCAACGACCCAATCCCAGCAAGAGGGTGGGCACCGTCGTCCCTATATAACACCGGGGTGAGCTTCGTCACAGTGTACAGTCGCCTTCGAGATCTCCTGCCTCTGCTCTACAAAAATCACACACTCCGAGAACACTTCTCTTCCGCGAACAATCCGCTCATCTACCAAAACAAAAGAAGAAACATTTGGCAAACTTCCAGGCAGGTTCTCGTACGATTGATTAGTGTCTCCAGTTGGACAACACACGATTTAAAACCGTCTCTTTTCTTCTTTCTTCCTTTTTCCCCGTTTCTCGTTGCTTCACGAACGAGAGACTCCAAGAAGAAGAGAAAGAAAATGTGCGACGCGAAGAACACAAGATTCTTCAGACCATGGAACGTGTCCGAGAGTGTGCAACCGATGGTTCTTGATCGACCAGAAGAGAAAGAAGAAAGGATTGAAGAAGCAGCGGTGAAAGAAGAAGAAGATAGTCGAAGCTTGGGTTCTATCTCTTCCTACGACGAGACAAGCGCAGCCAGTTCTTCAGGAAACGAAGTTCTCCTCTCGTGTTCCAGCAGAAGGCGACTCGTTAAGAGAAGAAGGAGACGAAGTGAGTGTTCGATCGAGGCGTCAAGCAGATCGTGTTCGGTGACCAGTGAAGATCCAGCGAGAAGTAACAGTTTGGATCTGTTGAATAACTTTGTTCTTGGATCGTCGAGCACAGGTAGCCTTTCCGTACCTCCAACTGCTCACGCTGTTTCTTCGATTCCTGGACCGTTCCCAGTGGCTGGTGGTTGCTCGATGCAAAGCTCGTCGTATCCTGTGGACTATCTCAAGAGGATTTGTTTTCCACATGTAAATAGTTTGAATCCTCTGGGCGGATGTTCGACGACGATTCCAGTTGAAGACGCTGGAATTCGAGCTTCGGCTATTGCGACCACTGGACAACCGTTTTACTACGATTTCCCTGGTGTACACCAACTACAGCAGGGAATGTACGGTTCGACGATGGAACAGGCTGTGGAACTGATCCACAGACAAGACGCTGCCGCGAAACAGATGAAGAAGTCGAGGCCGAAGAAGTTTAGGTGCGAACACTGCGACGTCGCGTTTAGTAATAACGGACAGCTCAAGGGACATATCAGAATACATACCGGTAAGTCTCACCTTGGTCTCTATATAGAGGTTTGTTTTGGTGATTGTAACGTTTGGTAATGTTAAAGTTTGATTTTCTGGGACGATCCTCGAGTGTTTGAATGCTGGAGGTTTTGAGTAGGGAGATGTATGAATCTATGGATTTTTCAAGTATTGAAGTAGGTTAAGTTTCAAATATTTAAATATTCAAATTTCTACATATTCAGATTTTTAAATATTTAAACTTTCAAATATTCAGATTTCCAAATCATAATATTCCCAAATATTCCAATTCCCAAATATTCATATTCCCAAATCTTCACATTCCCAAATCTTCACATTCCCAAATTTTCATATTCCCAAATCTTCACATTCCCAAATCTTCATATTCCCAAATCTTCACATTCCCAAATCTTCACATTCCCAAATCTTCACATTCCCAAATATTCATATTCCCAAATCTTCACATTCCCAAATCTTCACATTCCCAAATCTTCACATTCCCAAATCTTCACATTCCCAAATCTTCACATTCCCAAATCTTCATATTCCCAAATCTTCATATTCCCAAATCTTCACATTCCCAAATATTCATATTCCCAAATCTTCACATTCCCAAATCTTCACATTCCCAAATTTTCATATTCCCAAATCTTCACATTCTCAAATCTTTATATTCCCAAATATTCAAATTTCCAAATTGTAATATTCCCAAATATTCAAATTTCCAAATCATAATATTCCCAAATCTTCAAATTCCCAAATCTTCAAATTCCCAAATATTCATACTCCCAAATTTTCAAATATTGCAACATTCAAAACCTCCAAATTTCTAATCCCAAACATCATCAATTCCGCAAATTTCTAAAATTCAATATTCTCTCATTACAGGCGAGAGACCCTTCAAATGCGACGCGGAGGGTTGCGGCAAGTCGTTCACCAGGAACGAAGAACTAACGAGGCACAAGAGGATCCACACAGGGCTACGACCGCACGCGTGCATCGTCTGTGGAAAACGTTTCGGCAGGAAGGATCATTTGAAGAAGCACACGAGAACCCACGAGAATCGTGATCCTTATCGAATGTCTGCAGCAGCATTGGGAATGTTTGCTCTTGGCCATGCTCTACCTCAGGGACATCCGTTTCCTTCGTACATCTATCCGATGTGATACGATCTCAACGACAAAATCATCGTCGATTTTATACGATGACGATTGATACTAATTTTTTTTTTCTTCATTTTTGTATATTTGTATACGAAAAGAGGTATGCATTGAAATGATCGTTGCCTTGATCGAATGATTCTTCGTTTTATGAAGGATCGTTCGAGAGCCTTCGTCAGGATCGTAATTGTAATATATTTTTGATACCACGATTTTTGTCTGAATGATTGACGAGTAACGACGATTATCTCGATTCTAGTCGAGTGTAAAATATTGTAACGTGGAGATATTTACATATTAGAAATAAGAACAGAGTTTATAATATAATTTACCATGAATAAATTGTTATCTATTTTGATAGTAATTTCTGAGATTTTTCATTGACAAAAGCTCACCTTTCCCTTTCTAAATCAACGGATAAATCTTGACTGATGGTAGCGCAACTTTAAAGCGATCTCGTAATTGATACATTGTTCAAATATTTCAAGTTTCCCGAAGGAACTTCGAGAAATATTTCTTCATCCCGAAGAAAATCTATTTCTTCCTATAATAACAAAAATATTCCCAAAATCACGAATTTAAATTGATCCTACAATCGATCGAATGAATAACAAAAAAAAACAATGCGTTAAAAACAAATATTTTTGGAAATATCAACGTTTCCCAGATTAACTTTTCTTCATCTAAAAAAATCTTCTATTTTTTCTTACATTAATTCACAAATTTATTATCTTTTTCTCCCAACCTTCAACTTAAGTTCCAATCTTTTACTTTTTTCTTACATTAATTCACAAATTTATCATCTTTTTCTCTCAATCTTCAAATTAAATTCTAATCTTCTATTTACTTCTTCAATCTTCAAGCAAAATTCCAACAACCGTATTACACACATACACAAACAAAAAAAATATCGAAAATCGTTGGAAGCATCGCAGACACCACCATTTTCCCCACAATTAAATCCAAGATGGCGTCAGCAGAACCCCCCGGTGTAAGAACAGGGAATCCCCTTCCCGTGTAATAGGGTGGCTGGCGAGGAAGGGCTGGTACAGGGAGAATCGAGGGTTGCGCCCTTTTGCTCTCCGGAAGGGACGGTTACCGTTTGCAAGCCTATCTCTGCCCTTCTTCCGTTTTTTTTTTCCAATCGGTTTCGTTGCAATACGTTCTTGCGGGACAGCTCGTGGCCGCATACATAAATGTTTCGGTTGATTCCGGGGTGGGAAGCGATGAGGGGTGGTGCCCAGATTGCGGCGGCAAGAAGAAAAAAAAAAAACCTCGAATTCAATTAATCTCCCCTCTTCTTGCACGGTCATCGGAGGACGTCTTCCTCGATTATGTTAGCCACGGAAATCGGCTATTATACTTGGTTAATTTTTCTTCTGCTTCGTTTGTTTCGTGGAAGTGTGTAATACCGGGAAGTGAAGATTTATTCTTTTTTGGCGTGGAATTGGGTTTTAATCTTGGTCACTTTTTTTTTTTTTTTTGGTGATTTAGTTTTTTGGGTGTATTTGTTTTTGGGAATGTTTGGGTTGGTCAATGCTTGTTGGTCAGATTTTTTGTATTT